TGAGGAGCTCGACTCATGGCCAGAGCAAGAAAAGCGCGAGAGAAAATGGCTTACGATTCCAGAAGCCTCTCAACTTTGTAGGCATAGCTGGATGAAGGATGCCCTTGATAAATTTGCAGAGTATTATGATATTGATGATGAGAATGATGATCCTCCAGTAAGATAACAGATAGGATCATACATCCAAAAAATTTCTTTCTCTTTTATGTGTTTAAAGAGATAGAATATCGGTATTAACTATTCAAATGTCTCAGCTTTTCATGCATGCGAGTCAGTCAAGTTTCTTTCAGATTATTCTTTCTCTTATGTGATTTTATTTATTGTCTGGGAATCTACTTATTGAAGTAACTTCTACCAAATTGTGCATATATAGATATTTTTGCAAATTGTTAAAGAAAACTTTATGTGAAGAACTATCGAAGCTTAAATTACCAATCTGCAGTATAGAAAGTCTCAAGTTTATTATTGCTCATTTGCCAATGACACAGGTGGATTATTCGACTCTTTCAGTCTTTTGTGATACATATTGGCAATTGCTCATTGATCAAATGTCGCAGGATTTTTGTAGATGGAAAACAATATTATGGTGCTTCTCTAAATTAGTCTTGTTGAATGCCCACTGTTGTCTATCTTTACAAACTTATTCTTATACAAGACTGGAGACTAGAGAGGGTTATATGAGGTCATTAGTGCCAAAAGAAATCATATGAATAAAAAATTGTAAATAAATTCATGGTTTCTCTTATCTTTTGCAATTTTCTTGACTTGATTAGAAGATATCTCTCTCATGAGAGTGACTTTCTAATTTCCTGTCATAACTGATTTTACTTCTTAGATTAAGTTATATATGTGGTTATTGCCAGGTTCTTAATGTTTTCTAATTTATGGTTGTGCACTTTCTAACACTATAGTTACTTAGTAGACCCTTTTACCCTCAAGACTCGCAAACATGTAAACCATCATCAAGTTAGAAAATAAAATGACAAACATAAAAATATTTTAAGGCCATAATGTAACTTCACATATCCAGAGAGCTTCGAAAGAACATTGACAAACAAAAGAAAGATTAGAATGCATTCTCAGTAGTAATATTCTTCAACATCTTCATCCTCTTCTTCTTGGTCTTCCAGATCTTCCTCTTCTTCCTCAATGATGCTTCCTACTTGACTTGTTGCTTGGGCCTGCACAAATCTCATTATTCATAAAAAAAAATTAGAAATATCATACTTTGCATAGGAACATTGTCCCATATTTGAGAATAAAAAGTAATTTTACCTTGCAAGTTCGACTATTGTGGCCTTTCCCATGGCATTTCCCACAAGTTCTTTGCTTCTTAGCTTTCAACTCTGAAGGAGGCTTGAAACATTGCATCTTTCTTTTTCCTTTGCAATTTGAAATAGGAGGAGCTCTCACCATACAATTATTATCAATAATACTTTCTTGTGCTTGAGAACATGCAGAACCTTGGATTTGTGTCATGTCATCATGCATCGATTTATTCTCTTGTAAGTGCATTTTTGCCGCTACTAATTCTCCCACAACTTGATCTATTTTTTTATTTGCCAAATTATACAACTCAATACATGTGGAACCTTCTGCAACCAATTTCATTATTTTTCGAGACAAACTATTAAACATTAGAGTCTTTGAGGAGGAATTTGACGATTCAATGCTAAGACATTGGTGCGTATCAAAACTATGATTGTTGACTCTACCTTTGAGAAGTGCATTAAAACTTTCGCTTCTTTGCGTTGTAGACATGAAAGCACAAAATATATTTCTAAAGTATGATGGCACCCACTTATCTCGAATTTGATACAAATGTTTTAGATGTGTGTTATCTTCAAGTCCATGCTTCTCTATCATAGAAGTCCAACTTGACTCAAATCCTCAACTGTTAAGCTAAAATTAATGCAACTAAGAAAGTCCTCTTGAAACTTCTCTTTTGTGCCAAATAAAATGCCTAGATGCTCGCGTGCTTTCCGAAGAATGTGCCACTTACAAAACCAAAGAGCCGTATTTGGAAGGACCTCACTTATTGCTTTCCTCATTGAAGGATCTTGATCTGTCAGAATACAAGTAGGATGCTTACCAAACATTGCATTAAGCCATGTTCGAAACACCCACATGAAGGATTCCGCGGTCTCATCTCTAATCAAAGCACAACCGAGTAATATAGTTTGAGAATGGTGGTTTACCCCGATGAATGGTGCAAATGGCATACTGTACTTGTTTGTACAATAGGTGGTATCAAAAGTGACAGCATCTCCAAAATGCTGGTAGGCCATCCTTGATCTCCCGTCAACCCAAAACATATTTTTTGCACAATTATTACTATCAATCTGGACTGCATAAAAGAACATAGGATTCTCAGCTTGTAGTTGTTGAAAGTAACTTAGTGTCGTTGAGATATCACTATTAAACAGAGACATTCTTTGGCGCGTTGCAAAGTTGCTTAGGTCCCTCCTCGTGAATGATAAATTACGAACCCCTCCACGTTGAGATGCAATGAAGTCCCTAATATGCTTTGTTGAAATATTTTGCTCACGCATGATTCGTATAAGGTCGGCTTCTTCAACTCTAATCTTTCGCCGACACTGATAGAAACGAGATTTTGAGGGACTCGGTACTAATTCATGGTTGTGCTTCTTCTCAAAGGATGATATGATCCAATTTTCTTCATCATCTAATTTCATACGCATACTTGCTTTGCAACCAGTTCGAATGCTAGATATCTCCTTCGAAGGACTTTTCTCGAATGTGCTATCCCTAATTAATGACTCCTTCCTTTTGCTTTTAGAATAACCCTCATGAGAGCAAGTAAATAATTGCATTGTGATGACATTCTTTCTCTTAGACATATAATTAGAGCCTTTTCTAATCCCAAACCCAATGAATAGTGCATAAGCACTATAATAATTCATTGCTTCCTCCAAACTTTTGAACATCATACCGATCTTCGGTTCATCAATACATGGTATGTGACTCAAGTTTTCTTCTAAATATTCATCTTCATGTGACTGACTCTCTTGCGTCGTCTTTTCTATTTCTTCATTTGCATGAATAAGATCACTATCTACATATTCCACTAATCTTGCCATGAGACAACCTGTAACCATAATGGAAAGATTATTAGATTGCTTTATAGATGGAGAAAAAATTAATATAGGGTAAATTGAGCTCACAATTGATAAAATAAAAATAACAAGTGGAAGGGGAAATCTATATTTAATAGTTACTAACAAACTAAAAAGAAAACATCTAAAAGTCATAGATGGAGAGATTCATGGCTCTATTTGTGATGGAGAGATTCATGGCTCTATTTGTACTCTTGCCAAGCTTAGCTAACTTTCAAATATCAAAAACCCGTATCATCGTGAACTAAAACCTTCGTTCATTGGCTTGGTCGAGACTCTAATATCTGAGGAATCTCCTACTCCTCCGACAGATAAGCAATGTAAGCATGGATTGGATATGAACCGAAGTAGTAATGCGAATTACACTGTGTCAATTACATCAACAACTTATGCGGTGCAAATTTCACACCAGAATCACATCAAAATAAACTTTTTTTATGCCAATTACACTGTGTCGACTCTACATAAAAATAAACTTTTTTAAACCACTTTTTACTCACATCAAAATAGGACAAATTTTCAAAACCAACCTATTTGGACTTTTATTCCCCAAAAACGACCCCATTCAAAAATAATTGCAAAAACCGACCTGGTTTCAGCCTCAGCGCTGAAACCAGGTCGGTTTTTGAAAAAAACTCTCCGAAACTTCACGGGAGTTGAACTCCCGTGAAGTTTCATAGTTCAAAAAACTTCACGGGAGTTCAACTCCCGTGAAGTTTCGGAGAGTTTTTTTTCAAAAACCGACCTGGTTTCAGCACTGAGGCTGAAACCAGGTCGGTTTTTGCAATTATTTTTGAATGGGGTCGTTTTTTGGGAATAAAAGTCCAAATAGGTTGGTTTTGAAACCAGGTCGGTTTTTGAAAAAAAACTCTCCGAAACTTCACGGGAGTTGAACTCCCGTGAAGTTTCATAGTTCAAAAAACTTCACGGGAGTTCAACTCCCGTGAAGTTTCGGAGAGTTTTTTTCAAAAACCGACCTGGTTTCAGCGCTGAGGCTGAAACCAGGTCGGTTTTTACAAATAAAACTGAATGGGGTTGTTTTTTGGGAATAAAAATCCAAATAGGTTGGTTTTGAAAATTTGTCCCATCAAAATAATCAGGTAGCAGTATAAGTTCGAAACTTGAAAGACCAACCCAAACCCAAATCCAATTTTCATCTGCAAATCACTCACAGGAGTATAATGCGGGTGGTAAGCGATATATGCCCCAAAACTCCAATAATAATCACAGTTTCTGAAGACATTGGAGAGAGGGGAAGTTGCATGGCTGAATCTATGAACACAAAATGTCTCATCCCAACTAAAACGTGTAAGAAACAAAGGAGAAAAAAAAGAGAAACTAAAACCTAGTTCGTCTCTGATTTGGTTCCGAATCGAAATCGGAGCACGGAGGAATCGCAAGGCGGTGATGATTGGGGGCGATTGAAAGAAGCGATGTTCGGTTTTGTTTTATGCTACAGAGGCGGTGATGATTTGGTTTTCTTTTATGCTGCAGAATATATTAAGATAGATTTCCTATTTTGTGTAGATTTATTTTTCCGAAAATACCTCATCTAGCAATTAATTCACGCCACATCATCTAAACAAAATCTGATATTAAAACTTAATCCAACGGTCTAAAACCTTGGTGGACAATGACCCTTATCAACTTAAGTTGACAAGAATTTTCCTCTCTCTCTCTCTCTCTCTCTATTAATATATAACTTATATTTTTATGTATAATTAACAGATTTCGTTTATGTTAATTCTATAAGTATTACAATGTCTTTATGTATAATATAGTATTGTGTTGTTGTAACAACTAATATATTGAATGACATAAATCTTATGGCTACTTAGTCTAGTAAATAAACTTAGATTCTGGAGAGGAATTAGTAGAGAATTTGGAGAGGAGATTAGTAGATCAAATCCTAGCCACAACATATATATTTAGAAGTCATTGATTGGACCTTGGACCTTGGGGGCTCTTTGAATTCTACAATTATTTTTAATTTTGTTTGTTTCTATAAATTCTATAATTATTTTATATTATTTTTTTATTTTAATTTCTGTAATTTTTTATATTTATAAATTACATAATTATAATTAATTAATAATATAATTTTTTATCAAAATTGTGTATATTTTTTTCTTTGTATTCTTGAAAAATAAAAAAATAATTTTTTTAAAAAACTACAAAAAATGGGCCAGTCCGGGCCCAGGCCCGGCCTGGGGCAACCGAGCCCAGGCTCAGGTTTTGCCCGGCCCGAGCCTGGTTTTCCGGACCGGCCTAATTGTATACATGAACTATAAATAGGAATGGACTCTCTGTGCCTTTAGTTAATACTCCTAGTTCTTTTCTCCCCATTGAACGTTGGTAAGGAATCACCAAAGTCTAAAGAATGATTACTTTTTCTTTCTTGGAGGTGCACGTTAATGGACTTGTGATACTTTGGGGTAGATATGATTGCATACACAGCCTTATTTTTTTTAGTTGCAACATGTTGGTGCGTCTTTCATGTTTCTTGCAACTTAAAAGAGTCTAGATAGAAGAGACAGTATAATAAATTTTCAGTTTAAAAGTACCAAAATTACTCATATCAGTCAACCGAGCAACAAATATCGGTCGATCGATACATATGTCAGTCGATTTCGATTCGTCTTCGGGTCGGTCGACCGATTGGTTGATTTATCTTGCACATTTGGTCGTAGACATGATGTACGGGCCGTACGTCAATACACGTGCGTGGCCATGAGAGTGTACGAGTTGGGTTTGAGCACACACAAACCTTGGGGAGTGCGTAGCCTAATGTTTTGTGTTTGTCACGTTAGGGAGTGACAATTGTTTCGAAATGCGATTGTTTTGGATGCTTGAGTGCATTAGTCCGTGCACCGCATGAGATTACGGGCGACTACACTCTAAGTGTGCTAGTCCGTGCATCGCATGAGACTGCGGGCGACTACACTCCACGATGCATCCTTGTTTAGGTGTTTGAGTGCATTAGTCAGTGCATCACATGATATTATGGGTGACTACACTCCAAGTGCGTTAGTCGGTGCATTGTAAGATACTTTTGGGTGACTACACTCTGTGTTGTGTTTTTACTGAGAGCGTTAGTCCGGCGAGTTGTATGATACTGCGGACGACTACACTTTCCATCTTTAGGTCGTCTAGTTTTTTGTGTATTTACTCTCGTGCCACTTAGCCGAGGGTAGTGGGAGATACTATGATTTGACATGCCTGATATGCCCTGGATAAGGTTCTGGTGATGTAATTCTTTATTGCTTATTCATAAAATTTGGAGTTGATATTTAGCGATTCACAATTTGAGATATATGGTATATATAGGAGGGTTTCCTTGTTTAGATTATTCCCTCGATGTACTTATCTCGTGTTGCAATTTAATCTCCTCTTGGTACTAGATATATAATATATACTTATATATACAAGCATGCTGTGTGTAGTATTTTATATGTGTTACCCCCTTCCCCAGAGGATTGTGGAGATGTTCTTGCTAGCGCTCTGACGCTTGTTGTTTACCACCTTTTTCAGGTAGTGGGTCAGGGTTTCGAAGAGCCGCAGATTGACGGAGAATCAACATAGTTTACCTTTATTCATAGGTAGTTAGTTGTTGCTCCACAGTAGACTATTTACAGTTTTAGTCTTTTAGAGATGTATTTCATTTTGGAGGCTGAGTGACTTAGTACCATTCAATTGACTCTTATATTTTAAAGACTCATTGTTCTTATCTCAGTTTATCAGATGCATTCTCTTTTCCTCTGTTGGGACAAATTTATAGATGATGTAGGATATCTCTCCTCTATATTTCATTCCTTGTTTTCCCACTATTGTTATACCTTCTTGTACCCTCACTACTTTATTTTTAATATCTGCTAGAGTGATAGTAACGGTGATAGTGAAACATGTTGATGCACAGTGTTGCGTGCATTTTAGGTTTGACATCTATGTGTTTACCTTGGACTGTATCCATGTGTAAAAGCAGGGGCGTCACACTTGGTATCAGAGCTCTAGTTTTAATATCCTTAGGGTATCATGTGTCGGGTCGTGGAGATAGTATAAAGTTTCCTTAGTAGTTGGGTATAAAGTTCGCTAGGGATTCATAGATTGAGTGAGGCCGTAATGCACATAACTCGAAAATTTTCAAAATTTTTTTTTATGCTTATCTTACTTTGATTGTAAGATATTTTCAAAAATACTATGTTTTATGCTTTCCTATTGCTATATGCTATGTTATTCTCGTTTGTGGTCTCATATATTGTGTCTAATAAGCTCTCCTCCTGAAATTATAGATGTTAGAATGAGGACGTGGTCGAGGTAGAACCCGTACCCAGGGAGCTGGGCAAGCTGAGCCAGAGCCCGAACCGTAGTAGACTCCACAGTATCTGATTGATCTCATGGCGTCGATTGTAGCCAGACTGGCAGCGTTCGAGGAGCGAGTAGCTAATCAGGTTCTGCCAGTAGTATCATCTCCTGTGGTTCCACCACCAGCTATGCCATATGTGCCTATTATAGAGGCATCACCAGTGGTTACACCACCACTAGCTGTCGATAGAGCCGCAGAGTAGGAGGTTTGGCTCTATCTAGTTGAGAGGTATCAGAAGTTGAGGGCCCCAGAGTTTCAGGGTTCATCGGACTCACTTTGCAGCACATAAGTGGAAGGAGGATGTCGGGAACATCCTAGAGCTGCTTAATATCGATCTAGTCTAGAAGCAGAAGTTGGCAACATTCAGCCTTAAGGTCGATGCTGGAGGATGGTATAGACTCCAGTTTACATCAGAGCAACGGATGATGCTCAGTTGAAGGATTTTGTCTATTTTTTGATGAGCAGTATGTATCTTCCACGGCAAAGGCCGGAAAGGAGGAAGAGCTATCCCAATTGGAGCAGGGAGACATGCCAGTGGCAGATTACGAGAGCAAATTCATGAGTTTACTCAGGTTCACAGGCATGTAGCAGACAGGGGTACGTCAGACTCAGATATTTTTTATGGGACTTTACCCAAGCCTATGTTGCTATCTTGTGTCTCGACGTTTCCACTTAGTGCGAGAGGTAGCCGACACCGCCATTTCTTAGGAGACTGAGACTGTCATGTTTCCAAAGAGGAAGGAGGGAAGCTCTGAAGCGGGACAATCCGGAGATAAAGGGCAAGGGCAAGAGGGCATTTTCAGGGCCCGGAGGACCCCAGTAGTAGAACAAGGGTTCTCAGCAGTAGCAATATGGTTCTCATAAGAAGGGATCGCATCAGGATTAGAGAGCACCACAACAGCGCAAATTTCAAGGTGTTTGTTTTCACTGCCATAAGTTCAGTCATAAAGCTGCGAAGTGTCGCAGTGCACCAGCAGGAGGCCAGCAGGACAAAAGTCAGGGTAAGCACCAGGGCCGAGGCTAGAGCTAGCAGCTGAGACTTGAGGCACCACCGCCAGTTCCGAGGATTCTTTTTGATTCAGGAGCTTCGCATTCATTTATACCTCTTGCATTCATGGATAAGCTTCATCTAGTTGCGTAGCCTTTAGACATTCCTTTGTTAGTTTTTACTCCTTTAGGTGATGTGTCCATAATAGAGAGTATCTGTAGGTAATGTGTTGTCAGCCTAGACAAGTATGAGTTCATAGTTGATTTGATCGTCTTGTGCATGTCGGAGTTTGATGTGATCCTTAGAATAGATTGGTTGTCTTCCTACCATGCCAACATCGACTGTTTTGCAAAAAACAATCAATTTGTGAGCATCCAATAGGACTGAGTTGGTTGTAGCAACCTCACAGGGGAACCAGTTTACAGAGTCATTTCTAGCATACATTGAGGAGGCGTTGCAACGGGATCAGGGTGCCGTTTGTACAAGACCATAGTAGTCTCAGAGTATCAGGATGTCTTTTATGACATACTTGGATTGTCTCCAGTGAGAAAGGTAGAGTTCTGCATAGAGTTACAGCCAGGCACAATACCGATATCCCGTTCACCCTGTCGTATGGTACCTGTCGAGATGAGGGAGTTACAAACTCAGTTGGAGGAGCTCAGAGCTACATGATTTATTCGCCAGAGTCATTCTTCGTGGGGATCACCAGTCCTTTTCGTGAAGAAGAAGGATGATTCTCTTCGCCTTTGTATTAATTATCGTGAGTTGAATAAGGTCACCATCCAGAATAGGTATCCGCTATCGAGAATTAATGACTTATTCGACCAGTTGTAGGGAGCATAATATTTCTCGAAGATTGATCGATCTGGTTATCACCAGTTGCATGCCCGGGATATGGATATTCCCAAGACCACATTTTTGACTCGGTATGGGTCATTTGAGTTTTGTGTCATGCAATTTGGACTGACTAATGCACTCGCAGTATTCATGGATTTGATAAACTGGGTTTTTCGTCTATATTTGGACCACTTCGTGATCGTTTTCATCGACGACATCATCATCTACTCAAAGTTAGAGGCTGACCATGAGTAAAATCTTTGTTTGGAATTGTAGACTTTGCAAGAGTACCAGTTGTATACGAAGTTTAGCAAATATGAGTTTTAGCTTTCAGAGGTTAAATTCTTAGGTTACTTTATCTCCAAGGAGGGTATTGCAGTTGATCCATTAAATGTTGAGGCAGTTGTTGATTGGGAGCTGCCAAAAACAGTTACAGAGATTCGTTGCTTCTTGGGACTTGCCAGTTACTACAGGAACTTTATCCAGGATTTTTCCAAGATTGCTACCCCACTAACACGCCTTACGAAGAAGGGTATTCAGTTTGTTTGTGGGCCAAAATGTCAGAATGCCTTTGAGATTTTAAAGGCTAAGTTGACTACTACACCAGTGTTAATTATTCCGAGGAGTGACAAGACTTTTGTTGTCTATACCGATGCGTTATTGTCAGGACTATGAGGCGTTTTGATGTAGACTTAGGGAGTGGTTGCATATATCTCACGGCAGTTAAGGACTCACGAGCAGAATTATCTCACTTATGACTTAGAGTTGGCAGCATTGATCTTTTCACTCAGAGTGTGGAGGCATTATCTTTATAGGGTTCAGTTTGAGCTGTTTACAAATCATCAGAGCCTGAGATATCTCTTTTCTCAGAAGGAACTCAACCAGATACAGAGGCGACGTGTCAAGTTCATTAAGGACTACGAGTTCACACTTCAGTACCATCCGGGGAAGGCAAACACCATAGCAGATGCTTTGAGCAGGAAGCGTCGACACAGGCTTACAGCTTTGAGATGCTCGTTGTATCGAAACCTTTTTACCCTCAGTCAGTTTGACTTCAAGCCATAGATTGGTGGATGCAATGCATTTTTGGGAGCATTAGCAGTACAGTCATCATGGATTGATAGGGTGATCAGTGCTCAGTTGGAAGACATTTTTTTCTTTCAAAGAGTCAAATTGAACAAAGATGTCGATATTTTTTATTTGATTACTTATCATTGTTTAGAATAGTGACGGATCCACAAAAATTTTCTTAAAGGCATTTATCAAAAATTAAAATATAATATTATAAACCCACGTTCTCATAAATGGGCTAAAAATTCTAACTTAATGTGCTAAAATTAAAACCAGTTCCATGTTTGTAAGAATTGGAATGCAAGTACTTTTAATGAAGCAGGGCAAATTGCAAACATAGGAGGTTTTAAAATGTAATTTTCACATTCATTGGGGTGCAACTGCCTTATGTTTGTATTTGCATCTGCCCATGGTTTAGAAGACTAGAAGTAGAAGATACGTGTAAAGCTTTACGTTTTCTTAAGAGAACCACTAAGGTAAAAGTTTGAATTAAGAAAAACACTCTAAAAGATTTATACAAATACCCTAAAAAGATTAAAGCTTACACACATTTAAAGAAAACACTTGTTTGGAAGTTTTGATCTTTTTAAAGTGTTCCTGTAAATTTCAGATTTTGAGATTTTAGGGGTACTTTTTATAATTTTTGACAATTTCATGGTATTTTCTGCAAATTCTAATAGGGGCTGCATAATCCTTAGAAGCAGAGAGAGAAAGAGAATGGAGGGAGAGAAAGGGGTAATATGTGGGGACAAATTTTACCATTTTGAAAAATTAATGAGCAAAATCGACCTTTTCCCATAAAAATTAGCAAAACTGTCCGTCTTCATCCCAACTAAGATGTTTCATCCCAACTAAGATGAAAACGGTCGATTTTGCTGCCGGTATTTTTTCTAACTACATGGAACTACTAGTCCCATGTAGTTAGGGCATGCTAATCCAAGATTAGTCATGCCAACCAAATAGGCGGGACTCGTAGTCCCGTCTATTTGGTATTTAAGTAACCCGTGACCCTCCCTCCCCTCTTTCCTTACCTCAAATCGACGACCGTTCTCGAGATCTCGTGACCCCGCCACCACAGGTCTCGCGTCCACGCCGACCACGCTAGCCCCAGCCTCCGACCGCACTTGCGACGACAGGCGCCTCCGACCACGCTCGCGACCACAGTCGTCTCTGACCACATCAAACTCTATTCAAGATAAAAAAAATTGATAATTTTTTGTGAATTTGATGATTAACATGGATGTATCAGGCTAGGGTTAACTTTTGATATGAATGCTATGGTTTTTTATTTAAGGTTTAATTATAATTGGAATATGAAATTTATGGTATGAATTGTAATTTTTTGAGAGAATTTTGATGAATGATATGGACTGACTAGGGTTTATGATTTTGGGTATGAAATTTTTTTGTTTTTATTTTGTGAAATATGATAAAAAATGTGATTTGAATGTTAGGGTTTAACCATTATTTGCTTTTCAATTGAGATTAGGGTTTTAAATTTGATTTTCAATTGAGATTAATATTTCCAGTTATAATAGATTATTTGCATATGATGGACTGTTGATTTTTAGTTTCGATAGAGAACTTTATACCCATTATTTGCTTCTTCAATGGGAGCCTCGACGTCGGAGTGAATAGTATGTCTATGTATGAGGAAGGTTCTAGAAAAATATTTATGCTAACTCACTCATGCAATTTTGATGGAATGATGAAGGAAATACATATAGTTACTAAAATTAATAAAGAAGAATGTGTAACTAAGGTGTTCTTCAACTGTCCGATAAATGAGAATAGAACAATTGCGATGAACATCACCAACGATGAGGTGTTGAATGACATGAAACAATTAGTTGAGAAGAAAGTATCAATTAAGTAGTTCATTGAGAAGTATCCGATTCTCGAATTTGCCCAAGTTTCATGACCTCAAGGAGAGTTCTCCCACATGCTTGACATAGACAATGAATTGAGTGGTTTTACGACATCTCTAAGTCAAGACCCATGGTCTCAACTACAACATTTAAGCTGGCATTCTCTTGGTGGGACGTCAAGTACTATATTTAACGATGCTTCGGGCCACGTTACAAGTGACTTATCGGCCGGATCAATTGTAGAAGAAGAAACAAATGATGTCTCAGAAGATATTGAAGAAGATGACGTGCAAATTGATAGCATGCATATGACTACTGAAATCGATGATGACTCCCGTTGGATGGATCAATTTTATGTTAACAATGATTATGTGGAAGCTAAAGATCCGTTGCCCGATGAGTTTTGTAATGAGGATTGGATAAATACTTCTTGATAATCATATTTTTATTATATTTTTATACTCTCATTATCTATTTTATATGAATAAATATACTTCTAATAATTGTTTTTATCTTAATTTACAGGGTAATGAAGAAATAATGAATAAAAGCTCAAAAGACCCTAACTTCCTCATTTTATAACCTTTATTAAAGCCCGGGATCAAGCCAAGTAGACAATAGAAGCCGAAAAAAACAAAAATCCAATATAAAAAGAAATCATATGCAAGATGGTTGGCTAAAAAGAAATAATGATATCTCTCAATCCAGAAGGTGGAACTTAACATATAATATATAAAAATCATCTATCTCGACGAGACGAAACCATCTGTCAAGTCAAATTTTTTGATACTAGTATCGATACATGTATCGATGCCTGCATCGATAGATGTATCGATATTTGTATCGATACTAGTATCGATACCAAATGTGCAATTACGATTTAAAGGCTTAAATTGATTAACTTGGGAATCAAGTTTATTCAAAGGGCTCTTATTCATTATTATAGGCTATAAATAGAGATAGAGAGTGAGGGGTTAGGCTGTGAAATATTTTGTAAAAACTCCTTTTGGAGAGGAGGATTACTCTTAATTGAGAAAACCTTCCAACTTGTAACTTTTTGTTCCAATTAATAAAAAATATTTTCACCTTTTCATATTTTCCTTTTCTTCTTTTTATTTGATTATGATCATGAATGTAGGATGAAGATGAAGATCAAGATGAATGTTTGCTATCACCTTAAGGCTAGAACCCTCTTGGGCTGTAAATTTTCTCTTTGTTAATAAATTTATCTTTTACTTTCTTTTCTTGTTTAAATAGCCAAGAGACTAGAACCCTCTTACCTTAGATTTGTTTTCATGCGTAATAGAGTAGATTTACTTTCATGTCTTTACTTTCTTGCTTTAAATTCTTACATTTATTTCTTGCAATTTATTTTGTAGTTTAGATTTTATTTTTTTACATTATTCTCCTTGAGACTAGAACCCTCTTGGGATTAATTTTTATTTTTGTTTATTTTCTCTTTCTTTGATTGGCCTTGAGGTTAGAATCCTCTAGGAAATTGCCTTTTTTAAAGATGTGGAACTAATACTTATGGGAACTCTAGAAATTGCATGAAACTAGCTAGTGGATTCAATTCTAGATTCCTCATATATCTAATTGAATCCTCCACCTTTTACTTTCTTTATTTTCCACTTTATTCTTGATTTTTCTCTTATTTGTTTCTTCATTTTATTTCCTTCATCTTTCTTTCTTCCCTTTTGTTAGTTTTGTTTACCCTTATACTTTATCACATTCAATCTTTATCTCTCCACTCTCAATCTTATTTTGTTTTTATTTACATACAATCACTCTCACTTTCTTTATCTCTCCACAATCACATCCATCACTCCTAATTGTCACACACATGATATAAGAACTGATTTTAATTTTCTACAAACACATTCCTCGTGGGATTGATAAATTTTTATACTATAACTTGATGGTTGTTCACTTGCAACTCTAGAGATATACATTTATTGCCTGTTAAGTTTTTCGCGCAGTTGTTGGGGAAGGTGCTTATAAGTAGGGTTTTATTTATTTTGGTTCTTTAATTTGTGTGTTTTCTTATGAAGGAACTACTTGGAGATTGAAGACCAAGGATTGGAGATCGAGGATTTGAAGATTTGCTTATGGTAACTCTTCTTTCTAGTATTTTTAATTCCACCTTTTTAGTTAGTTTCTCACAATTAGAGACAATTAGGATCTAAAAAGAAAAAAAAGATTTTATTTATGTCAATCAATAAAATTCACTCTCTACTTGGATATTTACTAACAAGATAATAAATTCAAACAATAGTCTCTTTCTCATATTTGTTTGATTGTTAACCTTAATAAAAAACAAAAAAAAATTATTTTTCCATCCTTTTGTAGTTGTTTTTAATTCCTAGGGTCGCATTGCATATAATAGTAGGAATTCACCAAAGTGATTTGAGCATCTTGATTTGATACTCACTTAAAAATATTCTTAAGGGTAATACCCCCTAATCAAGATAAGGTGAGGGATTTCACCACCCTTTCCTTAGCCCACAAATCACTAATCCCTCACAACACAAACCCGAGCCTCCTAAAACTCATTAGACGTTGGCCCCTAAGGACTTAAGCTCATTAAGGAACAAGAAATCCTTAAGTGAACCGGTTTAAGTTTACTTGAATCCGTTGGTGTCTAAAGTAAGGTTTTGGGGTTGCGTAAAATGTTCCGCAAGGAATAAAGTACTTAATTAATCTTTGATATCACTCTAGTATTATCCTTACCTGACT